TGGGTGAACTCAGTGAGAATTAAATATACTTCGATCGGATGAAAACGTTCCCAAATAACGAAGTAAAAAGACTTGCAGTCTTTGGAACATGCAGTTGAATTAACAGATGGAATATTGAAGCCGAACAAATCTTGTTTTTCATTGAATGACTCAAGATTTCATTGAACTTTGTTGCTCTTGGTTTTTATTAGAAAATGTGATTATCTCAGTCAGTCTATTATATAGAAATGCGTCCAGATGAGCGTGATATATACCAATGAAGAGCGGAATAATCAGTCGAATATTCAATGAAATGTTACGTAAAAGTTTATCGAGCTGTCGTTGATCATTTCATTCGTCCGAATTGCGTCTATTTTTCTTAGCTGAACATCAAAGATAGAGAGCAAACAGCAAAGATAAGTGCATATAAATTAGATGGGAATGATTAAGGCTTGCTTCAGGATGAGCATACTATCAAAATTCACACAGATTGACCTGTTTTATCAAATCCTGAAATCCCGAGATTTTTCAAAACTTAAATCCCAGGATCGGGATCAGAACTGTAATCTCGAGATCCCGGGATCCCGTGCAAACCCTAGTTCTATCCTTGCAATCGTTCTGTTCTGCTCAATTTTTGAAGAGTTGCAAATCTGCCACTATTTTGCAACAACTCATCTACAGCACAGCGATAATATGACAATATTGCATGGTCTAGGACGCCATCTCGACTATCACACAGCTATCTCCATTTTCCATTTACGCACATATTCGTCAGAGGATTGCCCAAGCCCTATGGTGGCTATGAAATGCTAAAGAGCAAGATAAAATTGCTGTGAATCGTAGAATTAGTGGGACAGTAGGATAAGCAAAACTAACTGCCATGATCTAAAGCAAAGGTTGTCAACCTGAGCAATATTCTCCAATGGTGGTCGAAAACGACATGCGAATGGGCGATTCTGGAGAAAGATCGCTAAGTCGTCGATTTAACTCATAGTAGGCATGTATAGGGTTCATGAGTCAATACAAGCCAATCAGTATTGATAACAATATCACCACATCAGCAGTATTGATTGCTGGATGTGATCTTTGCATCGTTGCTTGCTGATCTTTGCATGAGATGTTTTTGGTTGAACTTTTGCACGGAATGTTTCTGTTGTGCCATCGAGGAGTAAATTGACAACTGATGGAGAACACGAGACGACGAACACTCCTTTACTTACATTAGAATCAAGACAAGACACAGAAATCTCGCCCTTATATAGAGTTTCTTATATGTAAATTTCTAACAATAAGAAGACAACTCATATATACAAATCAGCAGATCACGTATGCTAATCTGATCACATATGCTAATTCGATCATCACACAACAGTTTCTTAACCATTTGTTGCCCTAGTGTTGCTTGCTGTTCCAGCTTGATGTTCATGTTTGGCACAAGATAATCGACTGTCTTCAAAACAGTTATTAGATAGAGAATAGAAGGTAAGGTTGCAATTTGCTGCTAAAGACTGATCTATGCAATTTGACTGAATGTGAAGTTGGGATCGACATTTCAAATTCGAGATCACCACATAGTGCACAACAGAGATGCTATGCGGTGTATTTCCGCTCTAATCATTTATTGTCAGCTTCTTTCATTACAAACAAAATTCTGACCAATGAATTTTTTTTTCATAAAATTCCTCGCCGACGTTTGAAATGAAAAACGCCCACTGCTGACAAAAGTTCAGTTTGATTGTTAACTACCAGGCCTGAACTAATTACCACGTTTTCTTGTCTTACTTTGTTTCCCACAGCCATATTGCAATTTGGTAAACAAACTCTCTGATAGATTTTTGACGATGCTATTTCATGTTTTTTGTTGGCTTAAACTGGGCAACTCGAAATGTTTCATTGTTTGATCTACTACTTGCAGCGATATTCTACTGCATAACCTTTCTGCAAATAGCTTTTGGAGAAGAGTTTTGTGATGATGTGATCAACTGATGAATCATGAAGATGTATTTTGTGCAGGAAAAAAGGTCTGTGTTCCGTTTTTTTTTGAACTGAAAAGCAAACGTAAAATGTCATATGTTTCCAAAATGAAAGTTTTAATTGTGGATTAAGTGAGGTAAAGAAGGGGTTGAGTATGATTGCAATGCTGTGTTATGTGATATGAGATGAACAAATCGATGCCTTAGGGCGTATGTCTGTTGAAGTGAATGTAAGCAAGTACTTTATGAAGTCTGACTTAACTGGATTGCGTAAACTGAAGTAATCAGCCACTTTAGCTGCACCTCAAACTCTGCGTGTTGTACACACCGCCCTCGCTCAAACGAAGTAAAACAGCAACAATATCTTTATCCCGTATCTCATCTCTCTCACAAATCAGCAAGCGTAGGTGCAACCAACATTCAAAAGAAAGCTATTTTTCGTTTGAAGCACAATGCAACGAAACGATCAGCTCTGCTTTACTCCACTCAATTGCCTCACTTCCAATAACTCAGTCGGTCCCTTTTCACAATAAGCAAACATTTTTGGCCAATTATCAGTTTCATCACTGCATATAAACTTCAACTTACGAATCACGATCGATCTTGCCTCTTGATTTCAGCGATTAACTTCGTCAACGAAGTTTGAATCGCAAAATTCCAGCTATGGCAAGTCGAAGACAACGACAATTCGATCGAAAGTACAGCTCATATAAGTACGTCAATATTTAATTTCCATTGTTCTGATATTACCTTATATACTCCTCCATTTATTCAGTTCTCTTCTCATGAATGCTGTATTCTAGAAAGTACACTGCAACTGAAGATGTAAGTTATGCAGCTCATACATCGCGTTCATCATATCGTTCTGAAGCAATCACACATCGAACCAGCGATCGAGGAAGAAGTTCTTCATCTGAAATCATCACTGTATTGCACTTATCTTTATTATTATTTTTGTTATTATTATCATCAAGTACGTCAATCTGATGACTTTGCATTACAACAACAAAAGTTTAAAACATTGAAAAGAAGAGACTAAGGGATATTCTAATAAGCACGTTGATGACAGAAAGATTGTGACTGATTCGTTTAGGGTGCCGAAACAAGATCGCTACCAGTGTACATCGCCATTCAAGATTATACACCTGAGCCTGGAGATACCGAATCAGTTACACTAGAACAAGGGCAAATCGTTGAAGTGCTAGACAAGAAGAACGCTGCATCATGGCTTATAAGAACAAAAGTGAATGATATTCTTAATCGTTTGAGGAGAACTACCATCTTATGCCTCATGTTAACTCATTTTAAATGTTGAACAAAATTGTGAAATTGAAGCGCAAAGCGTTTATCATGTGAATGTACCATTCATTACTTGCCGTTCTAGGCTCGTCCACCCAGATCTGGTTGGGTGCCAGGTTCCTACTTTGAGACACCAACTGAATATTATAAGCAGAGAAGAAGGACAAGAGAAATTGCTGCTGCTGATTTGAATTTAACTGAAGAACAAGAAGCAATAATGAAAAGAGAGTAAGTGCGATTCAATTTTTATTGTTTTTAGTTTTATCATCATTATTATCAATGTTATTAGTATTCTTTTTATGAGTATTTATGAAGCCTTTTCTTTGAAGAAATATTATTTTCTTTCAACAATTAGCGTTGCTTGCGTTACACTTGTATGATTTATCTTATTTCTTAATTGAAATTCTATGAAGACAAGAACCGAAGAGAAGTAGTTTGAGTATTTATGAAGCAGTTTCGTTGAAGAAATGAAATGAAAATTGACTGATGATGATCAGAGAATATGAAGTTTCAAGTTAATGAAAGTTTACGAGAGAAAGATAAATAGACGTATGTTTATGCTGAGTGGAAGAAAATGAAGGATATGATTACGAAACGAAATCAATCAAAATTTTTTGTGGGTTTATTGTGTGTGCTGTTTATGAGATATCGCTACGAAACTTGTTGATTGTGTCTGTGTTTAGCTGATTGTGTCAAACTTATTTTTTAAATCATCAGATAGAAACATCAAATTGTGCTCTAGTTAATGAGTAATTGTGCATTCATAAGATTATTCTTCGGATATTGAAAATAAACACCGAAAATGTGTATTGCAGTCAAGTTTACCATGATTTATTACGTTCGGAGGAAGAATATGTTAACGAGCTGAGGCATTTGGTTGAAGATTACATAAAAGCGATCGAGAATGAATCCGTTCCTAAAGAAGTCGAAAATGTCAGAGAACAGTTAATAATGAATCTGAAAGAATTATGCAATTTCCATGCAAAGTTAGTCTTTCAATTGTACAAGGTTCAGTCATTAACAATCACAATGCTGTCTTCAATAACGAATCAATTTTATTATTCATTAAATGATAGTTTTTATGCATAATTGAACAGAATCAGGATCAACAAACAAGATGATGCTTTCAGTGTGATGTTAAAAGGATTACAATATTACTCAGATGATCCAGGCAAAGTTGGTCAAACATTCATTAGACTTGAACGTGATTTTGATCATCATATTCAATTACACCATCAATTACCAACTACTCTTCAACTTCTCTCTCAACCAACAATTAAGCAGTTTTTACAGGTACTTCAGTTTTTTTGTTGCATATGCATATATGTCTATATTACCGTCTCGAATCAACCGCTTCATAGCTCCTTGCATTTCACATAATGTGCATAAAAAGCATCAAATTATTCTACTCAAACGAAACTCAAAACAATCTTTGCTCTACACAGCTAATTCATCTCATATTCTTAACACTTGGCATATTACAGACTGAAACTGTCATTTTCCAACACCCTCATGCTCTAACTGATCCCAAACTTTCTGCTATCAAACAGCGCCTTTTAAGCATATTACTTCACAGTCGCAGCATCTCATCCCAATATGCATAATCATCCATTTATGAAATAAAATTCATCTATGAAAAAAATGCATTTATAGATATCACATTTGTTGTTGTTCATCAATTCTTCACATCATCATTGCTGTTCATAGCACATTTATTTTTGTCATCTTCCATTCCTCATCACATTACTTCCTCATTTTAATGTTGCGCTTCATAACTCTTCGAACAACTTTGCCATCACGTCCTTTTGACAACTTCTCATATCAGTTTAATTCGCAAATTTTTGATCATACGAAAATCAGTGCAATGAAAAATCATCACATTTTTGACTTCATATCAACTTATAATGTTTGAGCTGCAACTGAATTTCATTAAGTCAAAAAAAAAAAAAAAAACAAAACAAACAAATTATTGTTTACGAATACATCTATTCAATTTAATCGCATCACATCTGTATTGAACTATGCTACTTTGCATCTATTATTATGAGTAATCTTACTTATTGTTATTAATCTAATAAAGCGTAATTGTGAGGGAATAAGTGGAGAGAGCAGTTAGAGCGCTGAACGAATCAACGAATATTTAGAGCGATACAATTTTGGGTGATATGCACAATTTGTTTTTCAATTCAACTCTCCAATATTTTTGATTTGCTATGGAACTAAGGCTCATGCGAAAACCTCGTTTCCAGTAAGAGGCAGATTTCATCTTCCCCTGGGAGAAGGAGAAAGCAAAATTTATCTTACTAGTTAGCATTATCGCATTCTGATTACATCGGAATGATCAGGACTACCATAAATCTTAGGTAAGGACAGATTAAGTTAGAATTAACATCTGGACTGAGAATCGATCTTTCCCTCCGTAAGCAGTGTCTACTGTTGGAAGGAGGCAGTGAAAACAACGTGGATAATTCGCGCTTTTTGACGATATGGAAGAGATTATAAATACAACAGAGAATAGAAAAGTAAAAAACTGTATTTTGTGTGCGTTAAATGATGCACCTTTAGAAATGAAACAAAACTAGCGTAATTTCGAGGTGAGAACAATTGGAATAGGTTGTTTTAAATATGAAAAAGGATCGAGTACAGCTGCACAAAAATCAGATCGTTAAAATACACCATTTTTAACATTTATCTCATTCTATCGCAGTGGATCTCACGGTGGGGGAAGTTCTCTTCGGGAAATTTTGAGGATGCCAGAGGGATTGAAAAAGTTGGCAAATCATCGTTGATCGATTCTTTCGTAATTCCTTCATATTTCTGAGATGACGTTTTCAAAACACTTGTTTGCATATTAGGAATCGATTCCATTCTACCACGGATAAATTCATTCCAGCGAACATCTTGATCAATAAGTCAATTTCCTGATTTCATTTTGATTTGCTAGTGAAAAATAATAAATTATCGGGAGAAACGGTAATTGCAATAATCATGCAGATTATTGAAAAAGGAGGGGTGGCGGTGTGCTATAGGGTCTTGACGGAGCATGGAACGCAAGAATGTGAAGACCACAGCTCTAGATCATTATTACGACAAATGTAATGCTGTCTTCTTAGAAATTGCCGACGATTACTCATGAAACGAACCTAAGCTGAACTCAATAACAGTTTTTCGAGTTAATTTTAGTAATTCGGAAAATTCATTTTATCCTGTCTGTTTTTTTCTGAGCTGAAGTATTGAATGGGTAGCGTGATCTATGATTGATCTCAGCCCTATTCGTTTTGAACATGGAGCATGCCATTCATGGTACACCTAGAATCGTATCTTCTCAAAGCATTTCATTGCAGTTGTCTCATAAATCCTGGAATGTTGATTTTCATCATATGAAAAACTTACATCCCTACAGCATATCAAATCTTACGGTAAACAATAATGTTGCACTGTTAAATTGTTAAGCAGAGCTGCGTTACATGACTCACTTCCAAGAAAAACTTGCAAAAAATCTTTCAGTTCAACAACCGTCTTAAGATTACAATCGAATCTCAGTTGCAAGTAGCTTTGATTAGCAGCAGCGGATGCATTATGCTTTGACCATTGATATGATTCCAACTACTAATGGGTGTCTTAATGGAAATCTATCAAAAAAGGCATTCTGATGTTGAAACTTTGCAATCATTCAACTGATTCATAATCTACCGCTCAAATGCGTAGAGTTGTTGTCATATTTTTCAAGTCAATATGCACTTTGCAATATGCTTATCGTTGGGAAAACACTTTCAGCTCACCGTATTGATTTGTTATAACTGTTTCATCCGTGTTGTACAAATTCAGTTCTTAGCATTCGAGATCTCTACAAATACCTTGTTATTATATATTGTGTCATCCTGAAAATTTAAGTCATTTTTCTGCAACTCCGTATATGATAGGCAGTTGCATAGGGTATTGCGATCGCAGCTAACCGAAATTGGTAATCCGATCTTGACCCTAAGGTTCATTTTTGGCCTAAACGCGTAAGAATTTGTACTGCTAGAAACGCGAATACTAAAGTTCTTTTCTGATCTATTTTCAAGGTTTTCGCAACAATCACAATGAATGTATCTCATTCAATTATCCGTAACATTTAAGTACCCATAATTTTAACTACAAAGCCTATACTTTTTTTCAGTAACATCCTGTTCAATAGAAAGTGAAATTATAAGAAGTTAGTCGAGCTCAAGAAGTTTCTATTTGAAATATTGCATTCGCATTTCACCGCATCGAAGTGTGACTCTTATCGGCCGTTCTTTCCTTTCTCTCGCATCGCAATTTCTAAACGCATTTTCATTTCATTTCAAACTCCATCTTCTGGAAAGCTGATGGAATAAATCCAGTGGAGTTTCCGTTCTTCTCCACTTCAAAACACGCTTCTCGATACATATAAGTGTTAGTGCACATCACTGCACCAAGAGGTATTTGTACTTTCCGAACTGGAGCAGCACACGTTTGAGAAATGCGAAGCATAGTACAGTGCGATGCAGTACATGAATCTTTGAAAGATCACCTAGAGCATAGTAGTGTACCGGTTTCGAGAGGTAGAGGATAGTTTATCAGCCGAAAGATACTCTTTGCAGCTTGCTTTTTATAGTTCACAAAAATAGATGAGTCAGAAATACAATGCAGTTCAATCCGTACTTTTTCTGTAAACTATCTCTTGGTTTGACAACCTGTCTGATGCGCTTGGTTGAGTGCAACTCATACTCGTGCGTAGGCTCAGGGAATATTTTGATTCAGTCAGTTGATTTCTATGTTGCTTGAACAATTATGGCCGATGTAATGGCAGTTTGCATGAGGAAATCACACAACATCAGTGATCGAGTTTCTCGGTTTGGAAAGTATTTCAGCGATCGAAATTGATTGCGGGTCTCCAACGCATTCTGAGAACAATGTAAGAGAACCTTTGCTTAACTGATGAAGTTTGAAAGCGGCTGGTCACCTTCCGGTCGCCTTCTGACCATCGAATTACTGCTGTGTGTTCGTTCTCGATTCATAATGCTGGCGGGAAGGTCGTGTTCAAATCGTAACAGTAAAAGAATTAGCCGATCGAGTTCAGATTTCAGCTAAGCACCTATGCAAATGTATTTGTAAACCCACAAACGTAGAAGATAACTTTGATGGCATTTTATGGCGAAGACGCAAACAATTGCTCTTGTGCTATTTTTCCAATAAAAATATCATTGCAATGACCACGGTTCAACTTTAACAGTATGAACAGAAATGGCCGAAGCCACCTCAAACTCTCAATGCGTAGGTACACGACACATAAGCACTGTTGGACACGCTATTAAAAAATCAGTTCCGCTAATCGCTAATTCGTTAAAAAATACTTTTGACCCGTCGAAAATAATCCGCTAATAGCGCCGCTGACGAAAAAGTAGCGGAAACTTCCGCTTAAAGTGGCACTAATTGAAAACGATAGCGACAGTTCTCACTAAAATGCTCATCGGCAAAATCAGTCCGATAATCGCTGCATTCAAATCTTCATTCAAAAGTTGTGATCGCGCTGCTGCTTTGTCTGCAAAAACCGTCGGAAATTAAGCGAAACGTTGTCGAAGGTCATTGGAATTGCCAAATTTTATTCAACTGGAATTCGCCCGTCAAAAGATTACGATAATAATAATAATAATAATAATAATAATAATAATAATAATA